TGCTGCGTATTGGGGTGCTGAGTCTGGGGGTCCTGCGTCTGGGGGTGCTGTGCCTGCGAGTGCGGAGCCTGGGGGTGCTGAGCCTGAGGGTGCAGAGCCTGTGGGTGCAGAGTCTGGGGGTGCTGAGCCTGGGGGTGCGGAGTCTGGGGGTACTGAGCTTGAGGGTGCGGAGCCTGCAGGTGCTGAGTCTGAGGGTGCGGAGTCTGGGGGTGCTGAGCCAAGGGGTACTACGTCTGCTGGAGGTCTTGCGGGTGGCTCGCCACGACTGTCTCCCCGGCAGGAGCCTCTCTCACCAAAGCAGCTGCGCGAGTGGTTTACTCAGCGCACACGCCTTAGGAGTGGAGCTGCAGGAGGTGGAGACTTTGATGCTGCATGCACTGGAGCTGGAGGTGCTGGAGTTACTGCTGGAGCTGGAGGTACGGGAGGTGCTGGAGCTGCTGATCCTGGAGGTGCTCGTACTAGAGGTACTGGAGCTGCTGGGACTGGTGGTGTTGGAGGCGCTGGAGCTGGAGAACCTGGAGCTGGAGACACTGGCGCTGGAGGCGTTGGAGCTGGAGGAGTTGGAGCTGGAGACCCTGGTGCTGGAGCTGGAGGCACTGGCGCTGGAGGCGCTGGAGCTGGAGGCACTGGAGCTGGAGACTCTGGTGCTGGTGGCGCTGGAGCTGGAGGCACTGGAGCTGGAGACCTTGGCGTTGAAGACATTGGACTTGACGACCCTGGAGCTGGTGGTGCTTGCGCTGGGGGTGCTTGAGCTGGCGGTACTGGTGCTGGAGGCACTGTGCAGTGGCGACCGTTTTTCGTTCCGCCGCCACCGACGTCTCTGCCGCCACCTGACTCGGTCCTTCGCCAAGTTCTTAGTCTCCCGTCTTCTACTGGCCTTCCTCCTAGCTTACTGAGTCTGCCGCCTCACCAGTTGCAGCCACAGTTACAGCCAGACTCCCCACTTCCTGCTCCTTCTCCTTACGCTGAGTGTACAGACTCTTTTACAGAGCGCCGGGAGCCTGAGTCTCGTCCTGCCTCGCATGTTTGCACTGGTCATCGTGTTCCTCGTCCGCATCTGCCTCCTATCCCCGGCACTCACGTTATGGCACTTCGTCCTTCCTCTGTTCCACTGCGAGTTCCCCTGCCGCCTCCTCCTGAGTCCTCTCTTCCTGCCGTTCCTGACCCTGATTCTGACTTAGCTCGTTTTGCCAGTCCTACTGTCCCTCGTCTTCTAGCCACTGTTGTCACTGACCCTTTGTGTGAGTCCACTGCTGCGTCTGCCCTCGTTGCTGAGCTTGTTGACGTTGCTGCCGCCTGTCATCTCGACTACGCCACCAGTATTGTGTTAAAGTTATATATCTATCCTGCTTGTAGTAGTTATTGTAGTGTAGTTCTTTCATTATTTGTTTGGTGACGCACCTTCTTTGTTCCTTTGCTATATGTTCTTGCAAACATATCATGAAGCCCCTTCATTCTCGATTACCTCCTTGCACAAACTCCTCGACACCCGCTTGGTCTAAGCTACTAAGCCTAGGCCCTTAAACCCGCCTGCTAACTTACATTCGTATCGTGACATGGTATTGAGCTAGGTCGTTCTTGACCTTTTTTTTTTTCTCAATGGGCCAACCCTTAGCAATCGCCATGACTTGCTCTGCCCAATGCGCGTCCGTCAATGCGACCGTCGTGAGTGTTGCAACGGTCGTGACGGCCGTGACGGCCGCAATGGAGAGCCTCGACGGTTCGCGGCGATGTCGCACCGCCCGTCGTCACCTTCCTTTCGCACGTCGTCAGCTGCCCACCGCCGATCGCCACATCCCCGCCGTTCGTCGCGATATCCCCCCCACCCGTCTTCACCCCCTCGTCGCCCGTCGTCATCTCAGCGTCGCCTGTCGTCAGCTCACCGCCGCCCGCCGTAAGCTCCACGCCGCCCGTTGCGCATCAGCAGCTTTCCCCACCCGCCCTCCCGTCGGCCCCTATACTGCTGCAGCGGCTGCACATTCCGCGAATGCAGCTGCTGTGCCACCTCGTGCGGCCTCCCTGCGCTTCCTCGTCGCCTTCCCTTCGGTGACTCCGGCTGTGGGGGGGGAGGTGGTGTGGAAGGGGTGGCCACCGTGAGGCACTCCAGCACCACCCTTTACCCTGCCTCTCCCCTCCCACGGCTGATGAGGTGGTGGGGACGAGGAGGTGGTGGGGATGAGGGGGTGGGGGGGCTGGCCGCTGTCTGAAGGAATGTGCAGGGACCACCGTGGGTGGGGAGGGTTCTAGAGGAAGAAAAGGGGGGCGAGGTGAGGTTCTACGGGGCGGCTGAACAGGGGAGTGAGGTTAAGGGGGGGTGGTTGACAGGGGGTGGGGACTTGGGGGTTACTAAGAGGGGTTTCGCCACGGGTGGCTCTCCCCTCACCTCCTCACCTCATCCCGCTCTCACCTCTCCCTTTGTAAAAGGGGGTTAGTAAGAGGGGTTCGCCACAGGTGGCTCCCCCTCACCTCCTCTCCTCATCCCTCTCTCACCTCCTCCTTGGTACCTCTCCCCTCTCCTCTCCTTCTCTTCCTTTCGCCTCCTCCTCCTCATTTAACTCTCTGCCGTCTTCCACTGCGCCTGGTGTACCCCTTCAGGGGGTGTTGAATGCACTAGTTATTACTGCAAGCAAGCTAAGGGGGTGTGTTAAAGTTATATTTAATATCTATACTGCTTGCGGTATTTATTGTATTGTAGTTCTTTCATTATTTGTTTGGTGGTGCACCTTCTCTGTTCCTTTGCTGTATGTTCTTGCAAACCTATAGTGAAGCCCCTTCATTCTTGATTACCTCCTTGCAAAAACTCCTCGACACCCACTTGGTCTAGGCTACTAAGCCTAGGCCCTTAAACCCACCTGCTAGCTTACATCCGTATCGTGACATCTTGTTGCTGAGTCTGAGTTTGACTGTCCTCCGTCCGTCGGGGGTGAGTGTGCTCTTGGCACGGACGTCCTTGAGGACATGCAGGAGGAATTTGAGTGTCTTGCAGCTGCTGTACCTCATCTTGTGGCCATGCTTTTTGCACCTAAGGGAGACCCGGATGCACCAGACATCCCGACCCTACGCTCTTACGCAGAGGCGATTACGGGTCCCTACTCCTCTAAGTGGCAGACAGCCATGGACGCAGAGATGGCATCCTGGATGTCCACAGGCACCTACGTCGACGCAGTTCCCCCTTCTGGGGCGAACATAGTCGATGGCATGTGGATTTTCAGGGTGAAGCGGCCGCCGGGTTCTCCGCCTGTCTTCAAGGCTCGTTACGTTGCACGAGGCTTCAGTCAGCGACAGGGAGTTGAATTCTTTCAGACCTTCTCCCCTACCCTGAAGATGACCACTCTTCGGGTATTGCTTCTCTTGACTGGTCTTGTGACCACTTGTTCTCCCCCACTTTGCCTATGGGGGTGTGTCAGAATGTTATAGTGCTTACATTTGTGTAGGCTATAGTGGGGTAGCCCATAAGGGGTACAACCCAATTAGGGTTAGTACTTGTACCGGACTCTTTGATAGTTCATTCATTCTCGTTCATTCCTTTGACACAGTTCTCAACCTCTCAAAGCTTGTCAATCAAGTTTCATCGCCATGGCTCGCGCCATTCTCTCGGTCGGCCTCGCGCTCTTCCTCGCTGCAACCCTGGCGCTCTCTTTCGCCCAAGGTACGGGCCGTACTACTCTCATACCGTCACGACACCCCAGCCGATGCCCTGTGGTTAAATCCCTCGCACCGCCTTATGCATTGCATTTACTCTCTCTACAGTTGGTCACTATTGCAGCCTATCCACTCCCAAACGACACACTTCATCGCGGAAAAGACAAGTGCCGAAAGTGACGTAATTGTGAAATTTCCGTCACTTTTACGTATACAGAATTCTGGGATAAAAATATGATGGTTGGAAGTACCGGGGTTCCTGTCACATACGAAGTGACAGAAAAGTCACGAAAATGTCACATTGAAATCACAATGACGTCACTTTCAAAGTGACGCAAATGTTACGGCTATGTCACGTGCACGTCACGCGTTCATAACCCCGCTGGATGCCAATGTGCGATCCGCCAAATGTCACAATTTGTCTGCTTTTTACGTCGACCCGACATCTGGCGAGCATTACGTCATCGTGTCAACCATCAAGTTTCAACAATCTATAGTACTGTGCGCTCCGGAGCATCGCCCCTCCCAATCACCTACTTACACGTGAGCGACGAGGATCAACACGACATTGTATCCGTGCGCTTCATTTTTAGAGTTCGTACCCAATGCCAATGCACCATGTGTGACACACGCTTGTGCCTTATTCGTTGAAATTCCAGTCTGCATCTGGCTGACCCCTTACGTGTACGCGCCAGATGACATTGAAATATGACGACGTGTACGGCTGTAATTTTACATTTGACCCTTGTTCGACCCATGCATATCGATATCCCACCGTCCACGCCTAGGTGCATCGACGATACTGCACCACCCACGCCCCCATCCCACATTGAATTATGCAACGTGTTCACCCGGGATGCCGTTGACAGTCACCGACCTGTACGGCCTAGATCATATGACGCACGGATTTGTCCTCCACCTGGCATGCATCCTACCGACCACAATTCCACACATCGACGGCACTCGTCGCACCGCAGTTCCTCCATCTACGGCTGCAAACGTTCGTCACGCCCAGATGGATGCCATCATCTCACGGCATCCAACGGCGCTAGGTCGAGCCGCCTATTCACATTGGAGGATTACTATTGGCCCTTACGCATCCCTAGCGGTAGGCATTCCACGGTATGGTTCTTAGGGTCATGAATACTCTTCTCAACATGCACTTGAGTTTATGTACGCGATGAGTTTGAGCGACGGTATCTGACCATTCCCGAAATTGCGTCTTATATCCCGCTTCAATTACATCTTCTCTCTACTCACTCCATAAGCAACCATTTCGCCCAGACACTTACCCCCCAACGTAAGGAAGAGTTCCGTGTCATGGCGCTGACTAACGGCTTGGCGAGCCCCCTCTTGAGTTATGTCTGCGGAGTCATGCGGCTGGCGCTTGCTTGGGCGATCGCGGTCCTCCCGCCAGCGATGTCGTCCGCAAAGATGCGGAGACCATGGCGGCCCCAGGCCCACGTCTGAGACGCCGCATCGTACCCGGGCCTGAACTCAGCGATGGCCCGGGTAACAGCACTCTTCACAAGGACGTGGAGGCCGTCCACGATGTGCGCGTTACATCCTGCAGGGTTTGATAGGCGGCCCTTGCGCGCCTCCCAGTTCCGGATTGCATCTGTCACCTGCGCAGAGCACCGCACAAAAGAACGCATATGAGAATTCCATCTCCTAGCACCAGACCATTTTAATACTTTGGTGGGTCTTGATACCACGTGCTCCAGCCAGGCCACGTGGTACAGCTTCAGCGTCATTGTCCCGTTCACCATCCTTGGCCTGAACGCCGCTCGTGGGCATGCAGTAAATGCGCCAGACGCGAAGGGAATCTCGTTACGGTCGTAACTCTAGCGGGAGAGTGCAAGCCTCTCTGCAAAATTCATCACACTCGACATGTGCACGCATTAGATGCAAGGCTTTCTCCATTATTCAGTGTGAAAGCGTTAAAATTACTCCCAATGATCGTACCCGCGTCGACGTCTCCGAGACCGACCCTATCTAGTGTACGCATAGAGGGTGCTGCCAAGGGGCTTTTTGCGTCACGCTCGTCGCGAAACAGCCCTAGCTTAGGGAGCGAGATGTTGCGGACCCTCCTAGCAGCACCCGTCTTCCACCCGCTGAGAGACCTGTTGAAGTCGACCTGACGTGCCTTGTCAGCCGCGAGTGCAAAGCTTGCGTAGTTGACATGGAGATTATCAACAACTGCGCATATGCCCCAGGTCTTGGTGGCGCTGCTCGGGTAGAACGACAAATGCTTGTTGGGCCGCCGGATGAAAAGATGGTCGCGAGCCTGCTCACAGATTTCCTACAGGGGCGACAGACACGGCTCATCATCAACTGGCCCACTTGGTTCGCAAAACGCACAAGCGCAAAATACACCCGCTTGGCGAGCATCACGTGAAGCGTACCTTCCATCCCTTATCGGTAGGCAGGAGACTGAGTGCCTCTTGCAGAATCGCTGATGAGGACGATCGAATGTGACCCTCCTCCAGTCCTTCATCGGCCTCTTCCTCATCCTCGGACGCCGTCTCCGATGTGGACCGTGTACGACACGCCTTGCGTCGCTTTCCCTTGCCGGATGCGCGCTTCCGACGCCTCTTTCTCTTCTGTTCGCCATCACCCGCAGGCTTTGCAAGAAACACAGATTCCAGCCTGGCAATTGCACGTGCGGTAGCTTCCTGCAGCTCGCGCAAGCTGGTCATCTCCTCCCGCGTCAACGGAGTTTCATCCGGCCCACGTTCCGCGCTAGCGTCCTCCTCATCCGCGCCTGCTTCTTCTTCGTCCTCAGCTTCCGCAGCATCTTCGTCATCGCTCCGCACGGGGTTGAGCCTCGGGAGGGCCTCATTGGGATCGTCATCCGAAGATGCAGCTAGCGGTGCTTCGGGTTCACCTTCTTGGCGCGCGGACCCCTGGAGGACTTCGTTAACGTTACGTTTGCGCTGGCGGTGCAGCGACTCCCCTTCCACAGCATCCTCCTTGTCCTGCCGGCTGGACCGTGCGGTTGACGAGCTACTTTCGGACGTGCTGCCATGCGACATACGCGAGTCTCCGCCCCCATGGGAGGGAGTCACAGCTGCATCATGTAAATGTGACGACACCAGATTAGTACCGTTATATTGGCCCTAAGCATTGCAGCGCACATAATTAAACACAGGTATGCCAAAACCAATCCATAAAACATGACGACTTACGCGGGGGTGAAGGAGGAGCCTGTGCCTACTGCGCATTGGCGTTTTTTGGAAGGGACGGACGAGGTTTCTTCGTCGCTTGACGCCTAACTATGCCAGGCAGAAGGTAAGAGTTCCGCAGGTAAGCTGGAGGCTGGGACACGCGCTGACTCGTGCCCTCACGGGACGAGACGGGTCCTGCGGTAAAACTGTCCATTGACGCTAGTCGTGTGGGCAAGAATGAGTCCATTGGGTACAGACTGTCTGTACTTACGCATTGAGTGGCCCATCCATATCTCTGCTCTGCCGTGTCTCCTTCCCCGTGGCTCGCCCTTGGCTGCTAGACTAGTTTCGTCATTCACTGGGTTTGCACACTTGGCACTCGATGTACCCAACATTATCCACAGCCCTCGATACTGCGTCGAGTCCGTGCCTCTCTAATATGCCTACATCAGTACACTTATCAGCAGACATAGTGCACAACACATGCAACGTCACTTGTGGGATAACTACATGTAAACACAGACAAAGCAGTAAATGTATTGCTCTTATGTACGCATTTCTATCATCCTAGCCATTTCCTTACACATAAGGCTAATACAACCACTAGCACGCACACACGTTTTTCACTCTGAGGTTAACATCTCAACAAACAGGCTACAAGCCAAGGATCCTATCCAGCATGGGATCATATAGCAGTTCATGCGTACGCATGCACAGAGCGAGTGGAATAAGTGACGCTCCTACCCCAGCTCTGGCTCCTGCATCTCCTTGTCAACGGCCTCCTCCTTCTATGTCAGCAGGTACTCCCCTTCGTCATCACCATTGCTGTTAGCAAGCGAACGGGAACCTCCATTTTCGAGAGGGAAGGGAGTACCGGGTGCAATGCCCACTTCTGCCATTACTCTCCTCCACTGACGAACCTTCACAAGGTGCCTCACATCCGATCTGACACACCCATCCAGTGCTGCCATCTCTGTATCAGTCAGTACCTTCATGTGCGGGATGTGATCCTTGTCAGAATGTTATATTTCTCTAGTCTGCAGTGGGGTACTCTATAGTGAGTACAGCCCTGTTAGGGTTTGCTATATGTACTCAACTGCCTGCTAGTGAAACCCCTCTTCTCTTCTCATTCCTTCCTTCACGATTCTGACAATCCTTGCGCCGGATCACGTACGCAGCCACGACATAGGCATATGCCGCATCGTCCTCCACGTTGTACGCACCAAGCCTGATCTGTTGTCCCATACCGGGTCCGCACACCATCTTCACCCCCCACTTACGGCCACGGGGACACCAGCTCACCCCAGTCCACCAGCTTGAAGCAGGTTGATTGCCGTACGCGGCTTGCATACTGATCTGACGCAGTGTGCGTGATTCCTCCCTTCCTCCCAGATGATTGCTAGCCCTTCGAGTCCGACAAAGCCTACCTGGTGCTTCCGGTGTTACTGGAGCCGTAGGAATCTCGGGTTCCTCCTTCATGGGCACGGCTTCAGGTGGTGACCACGGCGTTTGACCAGGAGAGGTAACATTGTCTTTAGCCCCTGCTGACGATGGCACCGGTAGCAGGCATGGTGTAGCATGGATGGAGCTGGCGAGCGTCTTCATCGATGCCGCGTGATCCACCTGGTTCTTTGACGTCAACAACGACAGTAGAGGAGTCTTGTGGGTCTAGAGCTCGTGGGCTGCACCGCTTAGCAGCTGCTCCTCCGATATCCCAAACGCGCGTGCCAGGCTTGTTACCGCCGCGCATACCACGTAACCCCCAAGCTCCATCCGGGTTACCATGCTGGACTGACTGCCTTGCCAGGTCGGTACGCACTTCGTCTTCCTTGGGAAACTCTAGGGCCCCAAACTCACCCAACTGGAGGAGTGGCTGAAAGGGAACCTCTACGCCCTCCCTAAAAACCCTGACCACAAGGTCACCCGTGGAGTTTAGCGACACCTCCTCTCGTAACTGCCGCCTGTAGGTGTGCAACTTGTGACCGTAGAACGTCATCCACTGCTTGATGTGGTGAAGCCGCACGACACCAGTGCACACGTATATCCCACAATCGACAGAGTCCGACTGGGTCGGGATTTCTTCAGGCTGACAAACGGCACATACAACGAGCGTAAGACGGAACGTGAGCACACGTACGCACACAAGAAGGCACATAGCTACAACAGCATGTACGCTGTACTCACATGCATGGTCGTGATTTCAGCACAGTTCAGGCTGTTCGCGGCCTGCTTCTGGTCAGTAGTGGGCAGCTGAGGTGTATGAAGCAGAAGCAACATCCTGCATAGATCGTTGACGGTTAGGATGTTAGAACAGTTAATACTATAACTACCACAACGACAATGGACAACGTGAGCAAGTCTCACTTCTTGACACCTTCCATCACTTCCGGTTTCTTGGTGTGCAACGATGCGCTATCGTAATGCACCAGCTCAACGTTGTCCTCTACTATCTCAGAAAGCTTGTTGCTGACCATGCCGCCAAGGTTCATGGCGATCACAAGGGAGTAGTGGCCCCTGAAACATATTAAAAACGGACGTAATTAGAGTCGTGCATCAGGACTTATTTTAAGCAACATCACAACCGTAATATTTCTACCACGGTACTCCAACCAATACTTACTCGTAATAGACGGGGATGGCCAGGTAATCATCCTGCACGAAGATACATGGTGCATGCCCAAGCGGCCACGCCTTGTTCAGTGAGGTCGCGTAAACGAAGGCCTTCGTATCGAGAGCGAACCATGTCTTTCCTCCCTCGAGCTTCGGATGACAAATGTTTAGAAGGTTGAAACACAAAACACTCGTGTGAGTCGCGTAATCAGTGACGACAAAATCCATTTATTAACCATGCAGTCGTGCAATTCTTGGAACACTCACATGTTGTGGAATTCTACAACGGTGTCCGCCAGACACTCGCCGTCCGCGAGGGTGAGAGCGTCTTGGGCAGTCAGCTGACATCCCACTCCATGGGGACCGTACAGTGCCAACGTCTGAAAATCGCGCTGATAGTTGGGGTTCCTCAGGCGAGTCATCCGGTGGCTGTGGTGTCGCTGCTCCAGAACCCTGCACGCCGCTGGCCGCTGATGGTACCCTTCGACCAGCACGGGGCTCAGCACGGGGCTCGTTCTTCACTTTGCGCTAACGGCGCACATGCTCCGTCTTCACATTTGTCAAGGTACTTGCGGCGCCGAAAGAGTGGCCTCTCTGCACCAGCATATGCTGTATGTTCATCTTGTGCACTTGCAGGGTATGACGCTAACTAAGAGGACTTCCGCTGCTAAGAGGCGGATAGATCTGGCGCTGAAACCACAAATGAGATCTGCACGGACTAACGTAAGAGTATACTAGACACGGGAGTGCGCGCAGACGGTTGCGTCTGTGTGTTGACAGGAACTCAAAAGATGTACACGGCAACCAGTGAGTCACACTGCGCGCCAAATCCAGCTTCGATGTTTTGGCGCGGAACACCAGCTCCGCGCGGGCGTCACACGTGTCATGCTTTGATTGCCCTTGTCATTTGTTCATTGTAAACGATGGTGTGGTTATGCATGTGGATTCACGGTCTCACTGCATGCGGTGTGATGTGAAGTACGCGGTACTGCGCGACGGATGATAAAAACGAAATATTGTGCGTTGGCATACATGCGGCTGCATGCCATCATATGAAGATGTTGTGGTTGAGAGCTGTAGAATGGTTCCGGGTGCCTGTGTGGCCACCAAACCCTATCCACAAATTTCTGTCTTACACAGTCTCGGTATAATGTTTAAATATGAGACTCGCAGTGCTAAACGAGATGTTTCCGAATAATGCTCTCGAGTAGTCCTTCACAATCGTACTGGTCCAGGATGAACAAAGGTTAAACACACTCCCTTACATGATTCACGACACACTAGTGATGGCACGTTAACTAGCTATCGTACTAGGCGTGTGCATCTCACCGCATCGTGTTAAGCACCAGGCAACATCGACGTTCTTAGATGACCGTCGCGGCCGACTGTCGGGGACGCTTAATAGGAGTACGGCGAAGACGACTAACCACTTTGGTGTTCGACGCACCAAACCGTTCAGGAGCGTCGCGCACTTGTATGCCGAGAGAGATGGCCTGACAGACAAGTAGTTTGGAGACCACGCGTGCTACGCGCCTGCGACAACGACTGTCACTGATTAGCGGGCCAGTATGAGTGTTCAGTGTTATGACGGGGTCTTCCACAGAGGCAGGCGTCTCGTTACCGACGCGCTCAATGCGTGGGGGTATCAGGAGCTGCTCGCAAATGGAAAAATGAGTAGCATGCATGAGGCCTTCGCCGCAAGGCCTGAACTCGTCTATTAGCCACTACAACTGACCCAGCTCCAACACCAGTGGTTCAGACAGGACGCCAAGTACTGGTTTCTTGTACGCGCAGATGGCGAGTCGCCATGATGCTGGGACACATCCGGCACGCCACCAGCTAAGATGGACCGACGCAGGCATGGCTTCTGACCACGAGGCCCCCATGTCAGTAGATCTGCACTGTGGATGCCCGATTGATCCTAGGGGGGTTACAGGCGCGTTGTCCAGGGGGGTTATGGGCGCACTCTGACCCGCTACTCAACAAGCTCTTTTATCCCAATGGTCTAGTGGTTGGGATTCTGACATGGAATCAGAGCAGGTTACTTGGGCCCACCACCTGCTACGCTGCGCGTACCACCCTAGGCTTGTCGCCCCTAGCCTCGCGCCCGAGACTGAAGTCCGAGCTGCAGAAGAGACATACCTGCACTGACCTGGGTGAACTGCGCAGCTATCTTGGCCTGCAGATCACCCGGGACAGAGCACGGCGCACCATCACACTGACTCAGTCACACATGGTGCACCAGGTCCTTCAGCGCT